GTAGCGTATTGTGCACCTTCATGTGTGAGCTCATGGATCAGAGAGAGTTGTGTGCAGGGGGCTGCTCCTAGACAGATTAGGGGGTCCAGCCAGTCCTCATATTTTGTCTAGTGGTGTTGTCTGTGGGGTATTATCCGATTACTGAGCCACCCTCCACACTCGGGAGGGGGGGGGAACGCACAGTTTTAAAATAAAACAAAGCTGTATACATTCATGGCTATACACAGGCAAGGGCTATGCAAATGTGCGGAGAGCATTATATTCTTACCACCCACCATCATACATACATGTAAACAAACACCATCAAGCTACATCGTCTCTTCCATTTCAGTTTATTAACACCACAGACACAAAGACACACTAATCCTTATATAATCCCCTTCTGCTACCAAAAACCAAACTCTGGTCATATTTTACTCTCGCTACCAAACCCTTAAGCTTAACTTCAATAGGACAACTTTAGACTTCTATCTTTTGCCAACCTGTTATCAAATGAAAAGGAACTTGGATTGTTTTTTTTATAACTAACGTTCTATTAGAGTCTGGCCATAAAAAGATTGTAGCGATTAATTGAATTTGCTGTTTGTGAAGATTTAGTATTCAAAAATATTGATATCTTTTTCTGAATGTACTCCTCGGCTACTATATTTCAGAGCAACATCAATTCCTCACTTTTTATTTTAAGATGTGTACCCAACCTGATAAACATATTAGTTGATACTACGAGCAGTGTGTTAGATTTTCATCGTTTACAAGAGCAGGGTCGCCTAAATTGCTTTAAGAGAAGGACTAAGAGTTCAGTTTTAATTGCACCTTAAATTTAGGACCGCTACCAACCAAATGAAATGAATAAAAGCAGCTGTTTAAAAGAATATTTTGTCAATTGTAATTTGTTTTCATGAAAATAAAGGGTGTCAAACAAAAAGAAAAAAGATTTGGTATGCAAGAAACAAACAAACAGAGCCTTAATTTATTCTGAAACACCAAATTCCACTTTCTATCATCATTCTAAGTATTAGAAAGTTAAAGTTTTGAAAAAAAAAATCTACTTAATCAGACCAAAGTCTGTACTCCCTAGCATTCACACTATAGCTCCTCTAGCAGATAAAAAAACAGCTTTTTAGTTAAATATGTTTCTGTACTCCTACTCATTTATTTTCCATCCTTCACCTTTTCTTGTAGCCTTCTGAAACATTTGAGCATAGACATAAAACCTTGAACTTTAAATTATTTTATTCACAAATGTTTTATACACATCTGATAAAAGGATTATTACACATTTTTCATGTCAGTTTTTTTAGATATGTATATCTAACCTGTCCTATAATTCCAGATTTATTGTTCAAATTTTGAAACCACTTCTAAAATTAAAACAAGTTACTCAGATTTTACAAAGGAAATCTGCAAAAACAATGAAAGGATGAACAAGTGGATATACAGATAGTGTTGTTTTATGTAACAGATAGCTGAGGAACTGATGAATAAACAGACTGATGATAAGATGGAAACAGACCGTTCAGTAGATGTATGGATAGTAGGGATGGAACGGTTTATGAAAACCGTCCGTTCGGTTTGACTGTCTTGGTTCGATTCGCGTGTGTTTCGTTCGGTTCATGCGCTGCTCCTTTTTCTCATAGGCGGAGCGTTTACACTCCAGAGCAGAAGGTGGCGGTACTGTGACCAAAGCCAACCGCCAGTAGTAAACAAGAAGAAGAAGCGAAGCAGCGTAGCCGGGTGTAGCAGAAAAAAGATCAGTTGTTGTGGAGAATTGTGTGGGTATGGCGAGTGGGAAAGAATAGGAGTTGGAAGACGCACCAGCAGCACTTTATAGGTCTGCTGTATGGGACTGCTTTGCATTTAGAGTGACCTACGATGACAGCGGAAAGAAAGTTGTGGATAAAAGTGCAAAAGTGTGCAAGCATTGTGCAACACGTTTTGTTTATGCTAACAGCAACATGACCAACATGTCAGGCTAACAATCAACATATACCGAACCGAAAACCGTGAACCGAACCATGGATTTTGTGAACCGTTCCACCCCAATGGATAAATGATAAACAGATGAACGTATGTCTTATTTCTATATAAATATGTGTAATGTAATGTGATGGGAACAACTGGCTTTCAGAAATTCAGACATCTGTCATAAAGACAAGACAATGAAACATAAAAAGTATAAATATTTTCCACATTGTAGTTACTTTTCCCTGTACTGATACAGAAGTGGAAAATACTTAACTTACTGAATACTTACTTACTACATTAGTGTGTATAAAAATGTACTTGCCAGAAATGCAAAGCTCAGTTTTGGTTGATTCACAGCTGTCATGACACGTCTGATATAATCTACTATGTTTAACATTAAAACAGTAGTTTAGACAAACTTTTTATTACAAACAAAACTTCAGGTAAGAAGTTTTCAAGGCACTGCCACGCTGAGAGATATTTTATTGTATAGTATTAAAACAGGTTTTGTATTTTACAGTTTAAAAAAAAAATATATATATATATATTCATTGTCACAGAAAGACTGATCTAAGTACATACTGTTTACCATGTTAAATTAGACCTCAATGTTTTAGGGTTTGAAAAATGAACAAAAAGTTCCACCTAAGACACAGTTCAGAGATGTTACTTCCATCAATTAAGATGTTGAAAGAGTCTTAAAAATAATTAAAAAAAAAAGAGCCTGGATATGTTAATAGTTTTTTGCCAGTTCACAAATACCAGATGCTTTCAAACCAGGTTTGCTTGTTTTTTTTGAGAGTAGGCTGACAGGAAAGGGAGTATACGAGACGGGGAGAGACATGTGGCAATGGACCACAGGACTGATTCGAACCCAGGTTGGCCGCGTTAAGCACTAAGGCCTCCATACATGTGAAGTGCGCACTAACCACTGCTCCACCTGCAAGCCCCAGGATAGCTGTGGTAAATTACAATTATTTTCTCTAGCATTATTGTTTTAAGAGTATTTTCTAACTCAGCAAATGGATTTGTGCTTTAAGATTGAAAATGTTTTGCATATGTATACTGATTATGTAAAGATGGTGTTAAGATTTTCCTCCAAGTCCAGCTCCAGCTTTTTTTTTTTATGTCATTAAACTATCACAAGTACAGAGTAATGAAATGAAGTCTCTGCATTTGGAAAGTGGGCAGCCGCGTGGGGTTAAGGGTCTTTTGCTCAGGGACCCAGAGTGGCAATCTGTGGGAGTGGGGCTTGAACTCGGAACCTCTGGATTCTGGAATGCCCTAACCACTTGGCCACCACTCCCCTAATAAGTACCATTAATAATATAAAAGGCGAAATACTGATCATTTTGGGATGTTTTTTCATAGCAAGTTTAAATGCTGAGCCATGATGCATACTTGCACCATATATATTTGTCTCGCAATGCTCTGAACTTCCATATCAATGCATTTTTTCCACCATGTGTTTTTTGTTCTCCCACACTGTTTACATTTGATCACTGCTGCACTTGATGAAATAAGCTACTGTTCATTAACTGTCTGAAAGCTATACAAAACAATTTTGTTTTGTATAGACTGTGTAAACAAAATGACAATGAAAGTTGTCTAAATCACTCAATAAAAAAAGTAATTGATATATAACAGTGTAATTGTTTAATAGGTTAAAAGTGTTTGCATCATCGTTAGACTTACCTAGTTTGTATGTAAGGACATACAGGATTGTCCAAGGTGTACCAGGTACTGCCATCAGCTTTCTCCATACCCTCCATGGCCTCACAGCCTCCGCTCCCTGCCCAACCCTCCTGCTGCCATCTGCCTGTTTCACATTCTCATCGTCCAGCACAGGGGCCCCCCACACAAACAGAGCTACGCCTGCATACACAAATGTCAGCAGCATAAACATCCAGCTCCATCCAGCTACATCAATCACAGCAAGGAGCCCCCCACCAGCAAACACTGATCCAGCTTTATATCCCACAACCTGGGCTGTATTGCCCAGTCCAAGCTCCCCGCGTCCTTTCAACAACCCAACAGCAGCCCCGTCTACAGCAATGTCTTGTACTGAGGCGAAGGTGTTCATGGCAAGCAGAGTTCCAGCCACTCCCCAGATGTGTGCTTCTGGAGCCAGGGCAGCACTGGAGAGGCATGTCAGTGCAAGCCCAGACACTGTCCCCACCAGCCAGCGACGCTTGGTGCCCACACGGTCAACTAAAGGGGCCCAGAGTACCTTAAGCACCCAGGGAAAGTAGAGGATTTTGGTGAAACCAATGCGTGTAAGAGAGTGTCCAGCTCCACGCAGGTATACAGGAAGCAGAGAGGACTGGAGACCATAGGGGATGCCCTGGACAAAGTACAACAAGCCCAAGAAGACTAGTTTGTCATTCATGTTGCACTTCCAATAGTGATACTGGGGTGGAGAAGACACTGCACTGGTCCATGGGTAGGTATTTACATTAAATGGTGGGTTTCAAGTGAACTTCAACTGTTTGTCCTGCAATATGAGAAACAAAGATGGAAAGGTCAAGGTTAGTGAAGGTGATCTCTGTGGGATGTATTAGGTGGCAGCCTTATAAGGCTAGCTGCATATTGCTGTTTTATTGCTTCTCTGCGCAGCTCAGTTACAGACAGTAACGTTATCCCGGCTTACGTAAAATAAAACACTCCTTTTATCATCTATTTAAACATGTATTTTAATTATCTTTTGGATATAATCACAACCTATGTAGAAAGAAATTCACACACAGACCACTGGCAAAACTGACAGCTAATACTTGGTTAGCTAGCGGGCTAGCTCGGCATCTGCTTCACACATGACTTTAAAACACGTTTATATTACGTGTCAGCATTATTTAAGGTGTTGGAACTAAAAAAGATGATAACGAGAAGCTCTGAAGCTGAAACAAAAGGTATTTTTACACGTACAGAGAGGAACGTTGGGTCTTGTAGCTTTAGCTAAACGCTGAGGGTCCTCCGCTTGTTTACAGTGCTGGGCTCGAGCTGAGAGGGTTGCCAGGTGCTAGATCCACAACGGCCATCCCCCTTTTACGGTTAACCAGCCGGTGTTATGCCCAAAAGTGCATGCCTGCCGAAATATGCATCCCCAGTCGCGGGAGCGCGCCTCGCTCTGTTGAACTGCATATCGACGAGGAAAACGGATTAAAATATGTTCAATGGAGCTTAGGTTCTTATATTAATGATATAAAAACGTTTAAAAATACCTCTCGTGGGAAAAAAGTTGTGGTTATTTGGCAGATTAATTTACAAAAGTATGGATTTTTTGAACAACATTAAATCCAAAGATTTTGACCATGGTACGGCTGATTTATTTGTTGTGGTCTCTTGCTATTTACACACAACACTAAACCGTGATAGCCGAAGTGAGTTTTGAGTTTGCAAAGCTTTTTCTTAAGTGGAAAATCAAACGCGCACCTACAAAGCACAGCGTTCACAGACCAGTGAGATGCGTTCGCTGCGCGTCATTCAGCTATGGTGCATTCAGGAGCATTAGAACATTTTAAACTTACAAGAATGAGGCATAAAACAGAACTGTATTTTTACTGAACTGTATTGTATTTTTTTTTTTTTTGTTTGTTTATGCACATCTGCTAGCTTTTTATTCTAAAAAATCTATAATATTACAGCAGCAATTTATCAATGTTTTTCAAAATCCTGTTTAAAAGCTCCAAATGGGGCTTCAGATAGTATGAAGCAACAATTGCACTGTCATTGTTTTACAGGGCAGTATTTGCATTTGCTGATCCTTGTACTTAATTACTGATGAATATACAGGAATACAGATGTACAAGTGTCAACTCCTCTGAGATAGCAGGGGATGGAATTTTTGGCAAGGACCTGCCAAAAAATGCATCCCCCTTGTTTTTAACTTAAAGATTGTCCCACACACATGAAATTCACACTGGTAGCTCAGCACACATGTGGAAGCAGGTAGAAATTGAAACATCAGCTACAAATCTATATTTCTGGAAAAAAGCAGGGGATGCAATTTTTGGTAAAGACCTGCCAAAAAATGCATCCCCCTTGTTTTTAACCTAAGGACCTGCCAAAAAATGCATCCCCCTTGTTTTTAACTTAAACATTGTCCCACACACATGAAATTCACACTGGTAGCTCAGCACACATGTGGAAGCAGGTAGAAATTGAAACATCAGCTACAAATCTATATTTCTGGAAAAAAGCAGGGGATGCAATTTTTGGCAAAGACCTGACAAAAAATGCATCCCGCTTGTTTTTAACCTAAGGACCTGCCAAAAAATGCATCCCCCTTGTTTTTAACTTAAAGATTGTCCCACACACATGAAATTCACACTGGTAGCTCAGCACACACGTGGAAGCAGGTAGAAATTGAAACATCAGCTACAAATCTATATTTCTGGATAAAAGCAGGGGATGCAATTTTTGGCAAGGACCAGCCAAAAAATGCATCCCCCTTGTTTTTAACTTAAAGATTGTCACACACACATGAATTTCACACTGGTAGCTCAGCACACATGTGGAAGCAGGTAGAAATTGAAACATTAGCTACAAATCTATATTTCTGGAAAAAAGCAGGGGATGCCATTTTTGGCAGGTCCTTAGGTTAAAAACAAGGGGGATGCATTTTTTGCTGGTCTTTGCCAAAAATTGCATCCCCTGTTTTTTTCCAGAAATATAGATTTGTAGCTGATGTTTCAATTTCTTCCTGCTTCCACATGTGTGCTGAGCTACCAGTGTGAATTTCATGTGTGTGGGACAATTTTTAAGTTAAAAACAAGGGGGATGCATTTTTTGGCAGGTCCTTAGGTTAAAAACAAGGGGGATGCATTTTTTGGCAGGTCTTTGCCAAATATTGCATCCCCTGCTTTTTTCCAGAAATATACACTTGTAGCTGATGTGACAAATTCTACCTGCTTCCACATGTGTGCTGAGCTACCAGTGTGAATTTCATGTGTGTGGGACAATTTTTAAGTTAAAAACAAGGGGGATGCATTTTTTGGCAGGTCCTTGCCAAAAATTCCATCCCCTGCTATCTCAGAGGAGTTGACACTTGTACATCTGTATTCCTGTATATTCATCAGTAATTAAGTACAAGGATCAGCAAATGCAAATACTGCCCTGTAAAACAATGACAGTGCAATTGTTGCTTCATATGATCTGAAGCCCCATTTGGAGCTTTTAAACAGGATTTTGAAAAACTTTGATAAATTGCTGCTGTAATATTATAGATTTTTTAGAATAAAAAGCTAGCAGATGTGCATAAACAAACAAAAAAAAAAAAAATACAATACAGTTCAGTAAAAATACAGTTCTGTTTTATGCCTCATTCTTGTAAGTTTAAAATGTTCCAATGCTCCTGAATGCACCATAGCTGAATGACGCGCAGCGAACGCATCTCACTGGTCTGTGAACGCTGTGCTTTGTAGGTGCGCGTTTGATTTTCCACTTAAGAGAAAGCTTTGCAAACTCAAAACTCACTTCGGCTATCACGGTTTAGTGTTGTGTGTAAATAGCAAGAGACCACAACAAATAAATCAGCCGTACCATGGTCAAAATCTTTGGATTTAATGTTGTTCAAAAAAATCCGTACTTTTGTAAATTAATCTGCGAAATAACCACAAGTTTTTTTTCCCACGAGAGGTATTTTTAAACGTTTTTATATCGTTAATATAAGAACCTAAGCTCCATTGAACATATTTTAATCCGTTTTCCTCGTCGATATGCAGTTCAACAGAGCGAGGCGCGCTCCCGCGACTGGGGATGCATATTTCGGCAGGCATGCACTTTTGGGCATAACACCGGACAGGCTTTATTTCTTCTTCTCTGAGGTTTCAACGCAGCCGGTGTTATCAAAATTACAATACCGCCATCTAGTTGACTTAGGCCGTTATGAAGGAAACGGTAAGTGGTTTTCAAAATGTTATCCTTGTTTGCCAAAGTTACTAACATCATTTTTTTTTTTTTTTGCTTTGAAATTACAATGTATTGCTTTGCCTAATATTCCTGCCCTAAAATGCAATTAAATGTATATATTTATGCTTTTTGATAACCAGTGGCAGGTCTAGTCCATCTTCACTATGAGCGGTCAGGTTGGGGCCAATATGTTTTCATGGGGGCACAGAAAAAAGATTAAACAAAAAACAGGACAACATTTTATAATTTAATTAAAATATATTAATAGAGCCACAGAACCAAACAGCCACTTGCAGCTCTACACTGAATAAGGTGAAACTTTAATAAAATTACATGCTGTTCCAGTTGACATTTTATTTTGTTTTTTGAAAATGTTAATTTTATTTACCTAAAATTAAAAAATGAATAATCCCTTATAATGGGGAAAATCAAAATAAAACAATGAGCTGCTAAACAATCATCTACTAAAAACTCAAATAAAGCTAATCTTCGGAATAATTCAAGAATTTAACATATTTTGTCTTATTTTAAATTAAAATTACTGTTTTTGTTTATCAAATAAGGAAATTAGGAAAATTAAACTTTAAAAAATATGATAAATTCAATAGCTAATTTTATTACAGGCTTTATTTCTTCTTCTCTGAGGTTTCAACGCAGCCGGTGTTATCAAAATTACAATACCGCCATCTAGTGGACTTAGGCCGTTATGAAGGAAACGGTAAGTGGTTTTCAAAATGTTATCCTTGTTTGCCAAAGTTACTAACATCATTTATTTTTTTTTGCTTTGAAATTACAATGTATTGCTTTGCCTGCCCTAAAATGCAATTAAATATATATATGCTTTTTGATAACCAGTGGCAGGTCTAGTCTATCTTCACTAGGATATGACAATATGATAAATCCACGGTTCGGTTCGGTTCCTGGTTTCGTGGTCACGGTTTTCGGCGCGGTTCGGTATATGTTTATTGTTACACCGAAACAATAAACATATACAATGAAATTAATGAAAAAATCCGCTCCCGTCCGCTCCCGTCCTTGTAGATCGTAGAGGGCATGCGCGAGATGATTAAATTCAAAGCAGCAAAACATGCGGAAATGATCCATGGTTTCCGCAAATCATTAAAAGTAATTGCAATTCATTAAATTTTTTGAATGTGTACAAAACAACAAAATGGCGCCGGCTGGGTCGTTTTCAGCTCATGTCGGTGATTTTAAAGTAATTTTGAGTCTTAAATAATTTTTTTTGCGATCATTGCACTTGCCCGGCGGGCAAATGTAATGACATTTTTACTCTCCCGACAATAAAAAGTACTTGCCCCGGGCGATCGGGCAATGGTTAACATCAAGCCCTGCCTGTTCTTTCCCACTCGCCATACCCACACAATTCTCCACAACAATTGATTTTTTTCTGTTACACCCGGCTACGCTGCTTTGCTTCTTCTTCTTCTTGTTTACTACTGGTGGTTGGCTTTGGTCGCAGTACCGCCACCTTCTGCTCTGGAGTGTAAACGCTTCGCCTATGAGAAAAAGGAGCAGCGCTGGAACCGAACGCAACACACGCGAACCGAACTGAGACTGTCGAACCGAACGGTTCGGACGGTTTTCATAAACCGTTCCATCGCTAATATATATATATATATATATATATATATATATATATATATATATATATATATATATATATATATATATACCTCTGAAACGATACAGCACATAACAGCAGGGTGTAAAATGCAGGCAGGAAGTGCATACATGGAACGCCACAACCAGGTAGCTGTCATAGTGCACAGGAGCATCTGCCATGAGTATGGGCTGGAAGTCCCAAGGTCAAAATGGAAGACACCTCCTAAGGTAGTTGAGAAAGACCGAGCTAAGATCCTATGGGACTTCAAGATCCAGACTGACAAACAGGTGATGGCTAACCAACCAGACATCGTGTTGATCGACAAACAGCAGAGGAAGGCAGTAGTGATAGATGTTGCAATCCCAAGCGACAGCAACATCAAGAAGAAAGAACACGAGAAGCTTGAGAAATACCAAGGACTGAAGGAGGAGCCAGAAAAGATGTGGAAAGTAAGAGCAGCAGTGGTGCCAGTGGTAATTGGAGCACTGGGGGCTGTGACCCCCAAACTGGGAGAGTGGCTACAGCAGATTCCAGGTAAAACATCAGAGGTCTCTGTCCAGAAGAGTGCAGTCCTAGGAACAGCTAAGATACTGCGCAGAACCCTCAAACTCCCAGGCCTCTGGTAGAGGACCCGAGCTTGAGGATGACACATACCACCCCACGAGGGGTGAGAAAACAGTTTATATAGCTAATTGGTTTCCTAAAGGCCTGCAACATCTAAGCCAATTAATCATTATTAATGAAATTATTTAAATAATTTTCAACTAAAAATCATATAATCTTTAACTGGTGTATGCAGCCCCTTAATTTTGTTTTAAAAATAACAATCCTTCTTTGTCTGCAAATATGCTGTCAAAAACCCCTCAAGTCAAGTGGCACAGTTTAATCTTAGCCTGGTTCAAATTCTATTAAAAAAATCTCATATTAGGCCCACTTTTCTATCCAATTCATAATTAATTTATGTCCAGAATAGTTAAGTGGTTAATTGATATACAAAATTAATCATACATTGCAGCCATAGTTTGTTGTCAAGATATGCATGCATGTACATAGAAACAGGACTCCATCACATTGCTTTTGAATATAAAAACATTTCATTTTCAGATGTTAAAGTTCCTTCAAGTATGTTACTACAACTGATGATTGGCACAAATTAACCTGTATACATCAGCCAACCTGCAATACTATGTTCAATGGACTTTTGGGAATCAATGCAAAGCTAAGTCTATGTAAAGCAATGGTCCACAATATGCTATCTATGCTGCCATAATACAAAACTACTTAGGGGGTTTATGTTTGCTAAAGCAGTGACAACTTCATTTAAATCTGTTTTTTTATGACTAAATGCCATGACAGTTGCAGAGACCCCTTCCCAGTCCTCCACAACGCCATATATTTCAAAAGATAACAATTGATTTTCCACAGCTGCTGAACATTATGGTAGATCTTTGGCTTTTTGCACTTTGGTCCCAGACAAGCTTTTAGTTTTCACCTCCACAGAGAGCAAGCAGGATCTTCTCATAGTCTCCTTTTGTGTCATCCTATAAGGAAAAAAATAACAGTTAAGTTAGAAATATGGGAGTCCCTAAAAAAAAGGAGATTGCAACATTTCTTTAATTATAGAAATATTTCTGCTCACCAGGATGTCCTGGTAGAGTGTTTTGCCGTAGTTTTTCTTGTACTCATCCTTGACCCGTTTCATATCTATCTCAGAGCGGCTCACCATGATGCGAGTCAGGATGTGTTTGCGGGTACCTTTACCCTAAGGGAGAATAAAGATAAAAACAAATCAAACAATTTGAAAAAGACTTCGTTGGCCAATAGAGAGTGGGTCTGATGTTATAGGAGCATGTGGAAGAAGCTGTTGAATATACTGTACCTTCATAGCCAAGTAGAGTTTTTCTGCAAAGAATGCCGGCCTGCTTCCAGCACATTTCACTGTGGCAATTTAAAAAAAGGTCCATGGTTAATTATTGTTGTTCTAATAATGACCTATTTGGAATAAATAAAAAAATGCATATGAATGTGCCTTTACCTATTGCTGTGAGACAGTTTTCGATATCTCCCTTCATCTCCAGGTCGATAGCTTTGGCCACATCCACTTTGCTGTATTTTGAGTACCTTTCAAACACTGACAAAAATAAATGAGTATGAAAAAATTATAATTTTTTCTAAAAGGGGTGAAGCGTCTTACTCAACATGGCGGTATGCTGACCTTTGCGGAGATGTGGGGCACTCCTGGTGGTCAGGATTTCAATGAAGGCGGAGCAGTCTTTGCCCTTCCTCCCCTCCCCAGCCTCATACAGAGTCCTGGCATCGCTGTCAATCAGCTGCTCACTGACTCCTTCAGTCCTGCCAGCCTAAGAGATGCAACAGCACAGAAAAGTCAGTTTTCTTTTGATTTTATTAAAACAAATACCTCAGATTTTTATACTTATTTAACTCCGCTATGAGCATAAAAAGCAAACTACAGGGAAATGCAACTCAAAGGATAGAAAATATTCAGAGAATGTTGCAGTGCAGGGTCAAATAAAATATAATCTAGGAAAGTTTCTAAAATGGAGTTTTTGCAAAACTCAACTTCTTCATCAGGGTTTACAATTGATTGGATAAAAAGTACATTTTTTGTCTCTCTTGGATGACTTTTATGACATACTTTTCAGACAGCATAAGATATAAGAACTGCGATACATAAAATATCTTATACTGCAAATATAACAATCATATAGTTTTAAATAAACATCTCTAAAAGTCAATAACAATTTTAAGACTGAATTTTCTTCTTTTTAGGCATTAGGGTCATGTCGTTAATATGAGGGACCTTAATTTTTGGCGAGAAGAGACCACTGATTATTTTGCCACTGGCGCCCCCTTGTGGGCACAAAGGGAAACAAATACAATTTCTTATAAAGGGAATAGTTTATGTGACAGAAAAACCTATAATGTCAAAGGGCAGAATTTATTTCCAATTTTTTATTTTATTGGTTTTTCTTAAGGTTTCTTTGAAGTTTGTTTTTTTTATGTGCATTTACAGTTGTTTTATTTTCTCTTAATTTCAGTTTGATGATTTAATGCTTTGCTCCATTTTAGTTTGGTGATCTTTAATGTGCTGAAGAGTGCTTACAAATTTAATGCATTACCGTTTATTTTTACTACTTGCTTGCCTAAGTAATCTTCTATTGTACTACTGTTTAAATAAAATAAAGTATATTGAATCTGAACTGTACATTTAAATATAATAGATTAACTCTTGTTTGCAATATATTATGCTATTTCATATCTAAGTGTCCTGAAGCTCCGACTAAACACATTAGGAAATAGATGGAGTAAAAATGGTAAATAAAGAAAGAAAGACACACCTTGCAGAGAGCGAGGAGGGCAGCCCTGAAATCTCCACTGGTATCTGATCTGATATCCTCCTCCAGATCCTTCTTGTATTCTAGGAAATGATGTCAAAACAAGTTATACTGTAGGACAAAAGAACTCAAGAGGCTTTTCCTGAACTATACTGAAATTAGCTTAGCTTTAATGGCTCATACCCTCCTTGTAGACCTTCTTTATTTCCAAGATCTGCATGTTGGTTCTGGAGGCGAGGATCTCAATCAGGGTATCCTCATCTGTTCCAAGACCCTAAGAAAAGAACGTGTGGGCAGAGATTAACAGTGGAAAATACCGGTTATCATAAAAACCACCTCCCATTAAGAAAACAATGACTGAATGCTTGGAAGTATGTGGATGTTTTTAAGAAACACAGAGGGAGCTGAGGCCAAAGCATTTGCCAAAGACGTGTTGTGAAACACATTGGCAGCTTTAAAAGAGTTTTACCTGTGAGTTTCCTTCAGGGATTGATACCAAATATAATTTTAACTTGATATATGGTATAAAAAAAAAAAAAAACAATGGCAAATATTACATCCCGGCCCAGCAGATGTTAAAAGCTATATATAAAAACAAAAAAACATAAATGTTTCTCTCTAATAGGGTAAGAGTTAGCTGAAGCTTAATTCTGATATTTTCAATTAGATAATATTTTTAGAATAATTACTTTAAAGCATGACAGTAAAGATCTACTTTACATAGATTTTCTCCCAGTT